TGCGTCACCAATGCATACTGTGGTACTGTGCTCTGTAAAAAAAAATAATTATAAAGAGTTTGGTCTATACGCTGCTCTGTTGAAAAGTTCCTGAGATAACTCTGTTATGAATGGCGCTATACAAATAAAATTGAATAATTGAAATTGAATTGACCAGCTTAAAAAAACAGCAGTACACACTAAATTAGAATGATTGTGTAAATCATCAGCATAATTTTCTCTATCTATATGTGTGTGTATATATGTATATATGCAACTGCACCAAGGCTTTGTGCTGGATGGCTTCTGATCCCTTAAAACAAAACCACATCCTGCTTGTCATTACCCATGCCCTCTGTTTGTGTCCAGTTCAACTAGATAGGGATTTTTTCTGTTATATTTGAATAAGCCTTTAGTTTAAAGGTTGGGAACCACTGCCATATGGCAAGACAGTATACTAAACCAAAGCAGAGTGCTGGTATACGTTCAAGGTCATTCATAGTTGTTGCGCAAATTGCTATGAGCTTGATTAATAGCCTGGGCAGTGTCCACATGCAGAATAGCAAGCTCATTATTACCTTAATCAATTGTTTTACTTTCTTCCCACACAGTAAAAGAAAATTAACTTTAATTTCATCAGACACATTTACACAGTGGTGGAAAGTAAACAAGTGTATTGACTTATAGTACTTGTATACTTTAGTTTACAATGTATACAATTTATGCCTATGCCCCACTAAATTTTTAGGGCCAATTATTTTTACTCCACTATATTAAGTATACAGCTATAGTTAGTAGTAAGTGTATAGATTAAGAGTTTACATAAAAAGTACAGAAGCCTATATCATTTTAGAAATTATGATGCATTTCTATAGCTCAACATACACTATTCAAAGTATCTGCTTTTACTTAAGTTAAGGATCCTAATACTTACCACCTCTCCATTCAGAAGTGCTTTGAATAGAAGTATATTGCTGCTAAGATGCTCATGTATGACACATATAGTAAGGAATACAATGTGGCCAGTAGATGGCAGCAGATTTTTTTGTTAAATTTTCTCAGCTCCTAACTCAGCCACTACCTGGTCCGTTAATACTAAAGTCTGTATTGTATCATTGGATAGGGGCAGTGCACACCAACTTTTTGGAGAGGCAATACAAGTTGGGTGTGTTATCTCCCTTTTTTTTTAAACATTTTTGTCTTTACCGAGGTATCTGATTGGTTGGTTGTAGAGTGTTTCCCCCCCCCCCCCCGACTGAACTTTCCCCTATAAAACCTATGATGATGTGAAAGCATTATTCTTTTGACGTGCGCAACACAGCTCAATTGATGGAATTACTGAACTGCGAAGGAAAAGTAAACTTTAACACTGGATTAAGTTGTGTGGTGGAATATCAGTTATAAAATTAGAGTTGACGCTTTATTATTCCACATTTCGGTTCATTTTGCTAATCACTCTCAAACCTTAGTTTGAAACGTCTAACGGTTCTGAACCGGGACAAGTGGAGTTTTTACGCACAAGTTTGCCGCCATGGCGAACTCCTGTCTTCAACTGAGCGGCTTTCTCGTCAGCTGCTTCGGCTGGCTGGGAATTGTGATCGCGACATCCACCAATGACTGGGTGACTATGTGTAAATACGGGTTGAACACCTGCAAGAAGATGGATGAGCTGGAAGCCAAGGGACCTTGGGCGACCTGTGTCATCTCCACAGGACTCTACCACTGCGTCTCCCTAACGCAGATCCTGGACCTACCAGGTAGATACTGTTTTGTGTACATCCCAACAGCAGTGTGGTCGCATTCATTAGATGCATTCCGTTTAATTTGGATTTCTCACCTGATAGTTTGTTATCTAAAATGTGATATTTCCACCACTTCTTCTCAACACAACATATTGGTATCCCCCCTTTTCATGTAAAATACCCACATGTTCTGTAATGGGGAGTTTTTGTCTTTCTTTTCTTTCTTTGGACAGTAATATCAATCATATATTTTTTCATATGTGTTTTTGTAGCGTACATCCAGACTACTCGTGCCCTGATGATCACAAGTTCAATACTGGGTCTCCCAGCAGTGGGAATGATCCTCATGTCCATGCCCTGCATCAGCCTTGGCAATGAACCCCAGAGCTCCAAGAACAAACGCACCATCCTGGGAGGAGTGCTTATACTCATAGTTGGTAAGAGACTCAACTTTACTTTATTCACAGAGTGCAACTATAATGCATTAGGGGAAAGAGCGAATGTCATGGTCACACAAAATGTAAATTAGAGCAGGTCATATTGTTTTGCGCTCACATGCAGACAGATCCCTTCCAACCTTCCTGACTGTAACCTCTTTTAACCCCACCATGGATGCTTATAAGCTGCATAGAGCAGAGGATGTTGAATATGGCGGTCTTCCTCCCTAGGGTGTACACACACACAGACACACACACTTATATGTTCCTGTTCCATTGAACCCTTCCCCCTACATCCCATCACATTCCGCTTCTCCACCTACTCTCATCCACACCCTGCCTTTGTCCTGAACCACATGGAAACTCACTCCCTGAATTGCCCAGTTTACTGTGCTTATAAATATTTGACTAGTGCTGCAGCATTTTCCATCGCCTGTGTCCCTCAAATGAAATTTCAACAACTGTGTCCATCATTTTACTTTTCCACTATGCCTATGTTGTTCTTAGCAAATGATCTAAGCCCTTACTTAGTTAATAGATTTTCTTTTTTTATCACTGGGAAATTTACATCATCATCATATGTTTGTGTGTTTGCATGCTTGTTGCAGAGCAGAATAAAAATCCACTAACCATATTGCTTATCACTGTGTCCTTACTGGGAGCAAAAGCATCTCAGTCCAGCTTGAATTATTTCTGTTAACGGTGTCCTCTGAAGCTTTCAGTCCGCAAATTATTTGTGGATCCGGTTATTGCCCATTCTAGTGCAGTATATTGAAATTATATTGGCGTTGAAAGGATTTCATACATTTGTTCTGTGTTAGCCTCGGTTGTACACTGGCAAAACTCCAACATATACAAGATATGTCCCTGTCAGCTGTATAGGGATTTCAATATTTGTATAAAAGATCAAGCTTCTCTTTTGTAGTTCAAGGCGAAGCTTATATAGCACCATTAAGTCTTGCTGCTAAATAATATTATTGTACACATTCTTTCTTCCAATCTACCACCCTGTTGTGTCCTGTAGGAGGAATAAAAGATAACAAAACTGTAATAGATCTAATTTTGACTTCCTCCATTCTTGCTCTACTTTTGAAAGTAATTGTCAAGGATCGTGTTGCATAATTATGGGAAGAATATAGGAGGAGTGTTAAAATGTAAAATGTATTTTCCATCATTTTTGGGTTTTGGTTTGTACAGGTCATTATATATCATACATACATATAGTGTGTGTCTCTATCCCATTATGTCTCTAATGAAGTCCTAGTACTTGAAGGAGCATACAACTCTTAATACCTTTTAGCATTACACAGTAACAGGCAAACAATGTGTGCTGTGTACTACACCATACAACAATTACATTTTTTTCTGTCTGTTTCTCCCCAGCACTATGTGGTATGGTGTCTACGGTCTGGTTCCCCATCGGCGCTCACCATGAGCACGGCCTCATGTCATTTGGTTTCTCCCTTTACACTGGATGGGTGGGCACTATCTTCTGCCTGCTGGGCGGGTGCATCCTTACCTGTTGCTCTTCAGATTCCTCTTCCTCATCTCACTCCTACCAGGACAACAATCGTTTCTACTACTCCAAACAGGGAGGTGGCAACCCGCCAGCAGCCCCCTCTGCCAATCACGCCAAGAGCGCCCACGTCTGAGATGGGAGAGATTCTGACTCTCAAGTGGATGTGTAGGGGACTGTAGTTTGTATATATAGACATATACACTAGCACACACACTCCAACACACATGTAGGCCTACACATACAATCACAGTTCCATGCAAACCTACTGGAATAGAAAGAGACACATATATGTAAACATTCATTCATGCTGGTTTGTCAAGAAAAATACACAAATTCTTGAATGAGCACACAAACATACATAAAAGACACATTCACACATCCAACCACACAAAGGCTGTTATTGTTGGAGCGTTTTTTTCCACAGATGGATTGTTTTTGTATCACAGAGCTCATCTTCCATCCTCCTCATGTTGGGTGTGGCGTGGACTCTCCCCATTTACATTATTGTGCAAGCTGCATGCACAACAGCCTGAATCACCCAAGGCCTTATGGAATGAGATATTTATCTCCTATATTACTTCTATTTTTCTATCATGCGCCTAGAAAAGAACTCTTATGAGAGCCTTTGTTGATGAATATTTTTTTTAAATCATATGGGCTAATATGATCTGTTGTTTTCATAAGAGCAGGGCATGACAGTATTATGCTTGGAATTGAAAGTGTTCATTAACATTGTTTATGTATATTGATTTTTTTTTTGGCTGTATTATACAACTCTCGAGTGAATTTGCCTCTTAAGGGATAGACTTGATTAAATAACCTTTTCCTTCCCACTGCAGGATGACTGTAAGATGATGGAAACACACATTTCACAAGAAAGCTTTAGCCAGCAGTGTTCCAGTCTGTGATAGAGTCGTCAGTATGCACACTGCACAAATAATTCATTAGAGAGTACGCAACCTTAATCTTTGTCCATAACTCCCTCATCTGAAAATATATTTCATAATCTAAAGTTGCCATACACATTTTTATGTGACTAACTTGCTTCTGTTTTAAATTTGAATAACAACTGAGTGACAAAAAAAGCAGCTTATCCTGTAACTGTGGAATTATACATTTCATCTTAGTCAGACGTCCTCATATAGAGTAGATCTCTAGTCTGTAGCTAACAGTATGTTGCACAAAAAAAGTATTATTTAGATTAGCTTCTCTTGAAGGAATGTGATGACTTGAATGTTCAATGTCTAAAAAATGCTCTGAACACAAATGGAACTGGATATTTTCAAACTGAAGGAACCTGATATTTCCAACTCAGATCAGTACAAAAACAGTATTAGCTGGTTATTTATTGTTTCACTGTGCTATTGTTTGATTTTCTACAATAAAGACAAAAGAATTAAAACTGCTTTCATCTCGAGTCTGTCACACTGAGTTGATAAGATGTTTTCTAACCACACATCACCTTCTTTTCTCTATCTGCGTGTTAAGTTTCAATTTGACACAACGTAGCGGACAGAATGTGCTTGTTGTATGTGACGTGTCTGTGTGATATACAGTAATCACAGCCCTGGAACAAGTTTGTTGTATACTGGTGCTATAGTATTGTGTGTTATATGTGTCAATATTTGTGTGAATATAGCTGAGGCTAATGAGAAAGCGAGAATTGTTAGCTATGTATAATATCTGTAATGTGACTCAGTAACCTTGAGTTAGGTCGGCACAGAAGAGCCTGTCTCTAAGACAGTTAAAGCCACACAATGTACCGGCCACACATACACACACACACACACATATACACACACACACACACACACACACACACACACACACACACAGGATAATTGTGC